TGGCAATGGAAACAAATTTTATAACCAATTGTGGAAACAATTATCACTTTAATGGACAATTTCCATATAAAACAAAGCCAAACGAACAAAAAATTTAAAAATTTTCATGGTGGAAAATTATACCAATCAAACACGCTTGAAATCATTTTCTCTACAAAACATTTTATAGGCAAATCTTTTCCCTATAAAACATTTTCTTTCCACCCAATTTCCACCACTGCAATCAAACGCACCCTTAAAGTAACTTTATTGATTTGTGTGTAAAATATTTTATTGGGTGAATGTGTGGTGAAGAATATTACTGTAGCAAACAATTTTTTAGATTAATGGTAGACAAATAGATGCTTAAAGTGCATAAAAATTTACTTTCTAAATTAAAGATGTATTCTATTATAGATAAATGAAAAAACCACGGGTGCACGGAATATTGGACAGAATCTTTATCGATGCTGATGTGGCAGCAAATGATTTGATTATTTTTTTCCTCTTTACATCTTCCAATCAATTTCTGCTATGTGTTATATGTTAAAATTTTCTTTACTTATAGCATGATTCATAGATAAAATGCTCATTAGTAAGAAGTTCTCAAATATATTTAATAAAATATGATGAAACATCAATATATATTTCTCGAGAAAACAAAATGAAAAGCAAAAAAATGAAAGTATGGTTAGAGTGTATAAAAAAGGGAGATGCTAGAGGTACATCACCTCTTATATCGGGGTGTCCATAATGGACACCCTTATGTAAGTGGTGATGTACCACTAGAATATTTCTTGTAGAAAACACTAATGATTAATTGCTCGACAATAAAAGTTTGCCCCGCTTGATTTAGTTAAAAATTAATTTTAATAAAATATGCGATTGAAAAAATGATGAAATTTGTGGATTATTTGATTAGAATTAATTACTGACTTTTTCTTTAATTTTTATCAGTTTTTAAGCCGAACCAAACAGGCTTAGATTGTATTCTTCTATTATTCTTTTGTGGAAAAAAAAATACATGATTAAATTGAAATGTAAAATGAAGTTGAGATACTGTTTTGAAACAAAAAATAGATGGTTTAATAAAAGAAACTTTGGTAAAAGGTCGGTTACCAACAGTGTTTTTCATCAAGATATTTCCATTTGTTAGTCTCTCCCCATAACCCACTATCCTCGACTCCCACTCTCAGACTTCACTGTGTGAAAATGAGGAAAATTTCTTCATCGCCTGTTGCTCTATTCATTCTGGTCCTCATCTCACCTCTCTCTTCTGTCACGGCACTGCTTCAGCTGCCTATTAGCCCATCGAATCAGGCAGAGAAATTGATCCGAGAGCTCAATTTGTTCCCTAAGGAAACAATCAATATCGTAGACGATCGCAGTTTCTCCAATGGACCCAAAATTGTGGAGAAGGCGTTCAAGTTTCCCCACTTGATTGATGCTGACGGAGTATCGCTCCAAGACCTAGGCCATCATGCTGGATACTATCAGATTCAACACTCTCATGCCGCTAAGTACAGTCTGGAAAAAACCCTAAATCTAGAAGCCTTTTTGTTTTGTTTTTGTTCGGCTATTGGTATTCCATCTTCTAGTGTTGCTATTCTTTTGGAGCAAGTTTACTTTCTCTTTCATATTGATATTTCTAAATTAGTTGTGCTTCCTCCCTTTCTCGGTTTGCTACTTCCTCTTTTTCGGGGACAAGTTTTTTTGAAGCAATAGTTGAAGTGAGGGGGCAAGTTTACTTTCTCTTTCATTTTTGATATTTCTAAATGAATCGTGTTTTCTCCCTTTCTTGGTTTGATACTTCTTTTGCGGGGCAAGTAATTTTTTTTTTTTTTCGTTTTTATGAAATATGTAATAGTTCGAAGCAAGGGGCAAGTTTACTCCTGTTTGTTTTTTTAGTAACTATTTGGCTTTCCCATTAGTGTAGTATTTTTTAATACTGTTTACTTTTTTGAAAATTTATCTATTTAGCCCCTGTTTTATGGCCATTAATTGGGATTTTCAATGTTTTGAATAGCGAATTTTCGGAGAATGTGTGGTTAAAATGTACGGAAAAGTTTTGGTTGGGAAAAGTTTTATTGCGGGAACTTGCTCTTGAAAATGAATATGTAGAAAAAAGAGTTCTGAAATAAAGGATGTAAAACAGGGGCTTAATCTTATCTGACTACGAGAAATATCACTCGAAAAACCTGTCTGTCCTGATTGATCACTGATGCCTGCCATTTTATCTATCATAGTACTATTTCATGCTATGTTATTCATATTTATTTTTATACTACGGACTTTTCAAAATTATAGTTTTTTCCAATTTGATAAATGTCAATTTGTTTGTTCATAGAACATAGGTCAGGAATATCAACATGAGAAAAGGGCGAAATTGATCAAAATACGTAAATGTTGACATTAAAGTGTGGACTAAATGATCTTATTTGATTTGGTGACGTTGTCATATTTCTTGCTCATAGATGTTGTGAAAACCTGCAGTCCAGTATGTACTGAATTTCATAGTGTATTATACGTGGAGCATGGTGGTCTTTTCTAGTTTTCATGATTTTTTTCTTTAATAATTGTACTTGGTTTTCTAATGGTTTTGTGTCTATTGTCATAGCTCAAGCATCTCTGCATCCGGTTATTTTTGCATATTTGTGATTAGTACATGTGGATGTATAGATATTGTATTTTTGTACCATGTTACCTAACAAGCCTTGAACTGAGAAATCAAATAAGATAATTTAACCTGCTGCCTTCTCAGTATGTTGGCGAAAAAATTACTGTTTTAGTTCAAGTTACTCAGTGTTACATGTTCAGTTTCGATCTGCCAGCTGAAAAGGAAGATAATTGGGAAGAAACGCAGTTTTAGATAGTCTTCTTGAGGCAAATTGGTTTGATTTCACTGTCTAATAATGATCGATAATTTTCATTTGCTCTGCACATGGCAGCAGCCAATGTATATTTTTGAATAATTAACTTTATGATCAAAATGGAAGTTTTCAATTTACATTCTGTTAGTACATATTGTTTTTCCCCCTGAAACATTTAATCTGCCTTTTCTTTTTGGTAGCTTCCACGTTCGATGTTCCTTCTTGAGTACAACCTCCGTGTTATACAGTGTCTGGATTGGGGCTAAACTACTTTTAATGGTTGCAGAATGTTTTATTTTTTCTTCGAATCACGTAACAGCAAGGATGACCCTGTAGTTGTTTGGTTGACTGGAGGGCCAGGATGTAGCAGTGAGATGGCTCTTTTCTATGAAAATGGGCCTTTTAGTATTGCCAATAATTTGTCTCTTGTGTGGAAAGAGTATGGGTGGGACAAGGTAATTTTTAATTTTTTTACTATGCTGGACAAGAGCATTTATATCTAAATACTATGAAACTAATAGATCTGAAGTAAGTGCCTAGATTCACTTGTGGGTATCAGGTGTACTTGTTATTTGTCACATATTATTTCATTTTCTTCTTTTGCTTTCCCAGATTTGATTAAAAGATTTTTACGCATGCAAATAATATCTCTATTTCTAATTTTTGTTTCTTTTTATTGTATATATGCTTCTCATGTTGTTAGACACGCATTCCATAATCATCACTGCTGGCTGCTGCACTTGAACTTAAATGAGCATCAGCACTTTCTACGCCTAGCTGCCTTCATTCTTGGGCCCTGTTTGTTTCGGAATCAGATTTTAATCAAAGTCAAAGTCAAACAATCAATATTAAGTTATTAACCACATCTAGTCCCACAGCTTTTCAACCACATATTTCAAAAACTTCTATCACAATCTACTAAAAATCTAATTTTAATCCGCACCAAACACCCCCTTGACATCCTGAATGGATTGTCATGGTCAAAAGTATTGTACATGGAGATAGGCTAGAGTGGGCTAACACTTGTTCACTTGGGCTGCTCATTTCACTCAAGTTCAGATATGTTGTAGTTTTCAGAATTCATTCAGTTTCTGCTCATATTAATATAGTTTTTCCTAATATTAAATTCAAAAGTTTGGCTATATCTGACGATGAATATACTGCTGTAAAATAATAAAATAAATAGGCTTTGTATTTTATAATGTTATCTACTGGCGAAGGGTAGCAAGATGGGTGCGGTGGCTTCTTAAAGATATCTTTGGGATTGGGAAAAATGATGTTCACCGGGGATGGGTGATTGAAGTGGAAAAATGTTCACTTCATTATGAGTGCGTGCATTTGTGTGTTTTCCTTTCTCTCAGCAACTATCTGCCTTGCCGAGTGCCTTATTAACCTTTCTTTTAGTATGACTTCCATATTGAATACTAATTTTGATAAGTTTGACCTCATTTTTATGATCTCATCATTGTAGTTCTGACTATATAATATAATCCTAGATCTTTTTGAGTTGAATTTATCTGCGCTTCGTTATCTACAGAAAAATGCCATCGGTAGTACTTGTCTTGGATAATCAGAGTCTAGAATCTCATAGTAGCTTTGTGAGGGAGGTTATTGTTTTCAAAAAATTACTGACAGTTATCTCACGTTCTTAAACTCAGGATCTATGCTTGATTGACAGATAGATAGAAGGATAGCTGCTGGGCATTCTATTTAAATGCTGATTTAGCTCCTTGGACCATTGATGTGATACATTATCACTTTTTAATTTAAATTGTATACAATGATTAATCTCATGATAACATTCATCTTCTTGAAGAAAATTGATATAATTCCTCTGATTATTTTGTAGGTTTCAAATATTTTGTTTGTTGACCAGCCTATTGGGACTGGCTTTAGCTATAGCACCAACAGACATGACATTCGCCACAATGAAAAAGATATTAGCAATGATTTATATGACTTTCTACAGGTTAGTTTTGTTGCTTTCTTTTTTGTTTCCATCTGGTTCGCTGGTTTGTGATAAGATTCAAATTAGATAGGAACAATTGCTTAATGAAATACACAAGAATTAAACTAGATAAGGGGATGAATGTTGGCTGGATTAATGGGAAAACTGATATTTTATGCTGAAGATAGTGTAAAGATTACAGAAAAGAAACAGATAGCCTTTCGAGAGGGCTAAACCTCTCCAATTTCTCAAACCGCTCAAAATTTACCTACCTTACAAACGACCCTCCTACCCCACCTATATTCCCTTCCTTGTAACTGATTTTGTCCGTGTCATTTTGTTTACCAACAGAATTTGTTGCTCCCTCTCTTGCCAGGTGCCTTTATTGAATGGAAGGCTTATCAGTTTGAAGGAACTTTTGGGGCCTTGTTATTAATAATAGAAACTAGAAAATTCAAATAAGCACAACCAATTTGGGTGATAACAAGTGTAAGCTAAACAGTGAAGTATGCTGACCTCCCATGTAGTGGAGGATCGGACTTAAAAAAAATTTGAAGCCGGGATAATATGTAAAAAAAGAAATAAAAAAAATTCCACTTGAATATTTTTTTAAATATAAAATTTCTTTTACACTACAAAAATTGAAATGGACTGCCAGCTCCCCTTAAATCTGCCAGTGTTCCCATGAAGAGTGATAGAAGACTTCTCATCAATAGATAACCAACTACTTTAATGATGTTTATATGACATTCTAACGGTAGCAATCTTTCCTGTGTAACACCGTTTACCATTTTCATTGTATCTATCTTCTTATTCATTTTAATCTTTCTTCAGCTGTTGCTTTGGATTTTTGAGTAACCTGCTATGGCCTTAATTATGTGATATAATTGCAGATATACACTCTCTCTCAGTCCCAAAGGACTCTGGTTTGAATTGGCATAGAGTTAAGGGGGCACAATCTATATAATTTCTTCATTCATACTATATAATTTTTTTAAAGTTACTCCCTTTTTTTCTCTGAAGTGTATGTTTGGTGAAGAAATTAAGGGCCATTAATTGCTTGCTTTATTTTTATGAGTTTATATTAGAATTTGGAATGGATGCTTGACCTTTTGAAAATGCAAAGTTGAAGAAATTAAGGGCCATAAATAGCTTGCTTTATTTTTATGAGTTTATATTAGAATTTGGAATGGATGCTAGACTTTTTGAAAAAGCAAAGGCATTTTGGATAAATGAAAATAGGCAGTCTCTTTTTGGGACAAGATGGAGTACGATTCTAATTTCAATCCCCTAAAACCTGAGGCACATACATTTTCTACTTGACCCAGTATCTTTGCTGCACTCTACCTCTAATGCATCACAGTGCAAAGTTCCCCCTCCCATGCTTCTATCTGTACATGGTTCGAGCCACAAGCTCTTAGATACTAAAATCCAAACAAGCAAGTACATGTGGGAACATACATGACCAATATTAAACTATCACATCCTCCATTAAGCATTTACTATTATCCACCAACCTCAATAATACTTCCTGGTTGTTCTGAAGTGCTGTGAAATTGAATTAACATTTTCCGAGGAACCTGTTTGTAATTGACTGGTCATATGTCACTTGGAGGGATGAGGTGTTGGTCAATGATTGAGCTATAATCTTGGTCATCATGTGAAGCATCAGAAATAACAACGATAAGAGCTATGGGAAATTATGAATGTTAATAGTAACTAAAGACACTACTGAACATGCTGGTGTCAGAAATTTATAGGTTTGCTCATAAAAATGGGAATATATGGGAATGTTATGAAGCAGGCCCTGAAGGTTGTCATTATAGAATACTCTGGGAACTTATTTTATTTCTTGAATGCAACTCTATGTTGATGTATTATTACTAATGATATAGAGATATTTTCATTAATTTTCTTGTCTTCTTTCAGTTAAAAGGAAAATGAGTTGGAAATTTAACATTCTGGAAAAAGAAATTAAAGGATTCCTCTTGTTAGCTGTTTCTCACGGACTCATATAATATATTATACGTTTTTCATTGAAGAGAATGCTTATTGGGGCAGTTTTTTTTTTTTTTTTTTTTT